CAGAAATAACACGTTACAGTTAGCATGTCAGAGATTTTCTTTACAAAAACATAATTTACACTTTTATTTGTGACATACGTATCTATTGACATATAACAGACAATTTAGCAAAGGCTAGCTAACATCTGGGCAATAAAAAGCAGAACAGAGTAGAGAATATTTATAAATGTATAAACCTCTTTGTGACAAACTTTACAGTGTTGATGCAGGTGGAATGAAAGACGTGAACAAAGTGCAATATGCAGTAAATGGAACGATGTGCATCGATGTTACAGATCGTGAAAAGTAGTTCAATAACAAGCAAAAATCAAATACGTTTGAAACTGACCACTAAATGCTAACCAGAGGTGTCAAAAGTGCACATTCTTACTAAAGTTTAGACACCTCGGAGGTCTGACCGTTGTTGTAACGCTAACAAAGAGCCAACATCAGTGTAAGCAAACTAGATGAGTCCTAGAATTATATAATTATTAACAGCAAACTTATACATGAAAGACTCTGTGCCAACCTTTACGATCCGGCTACTGTGGAGGTCACGTGTTTCCGGTTACTGTGGAGGTCCCAACATGGCGCTCCCAGTGGCTGCAGCCAGACCGCAGCTGGAGCATTACCGTAATGTTTATAACACTGCGCAGCAGAATGACTCGAGCTGCAGCCCTCTGACTTTAACGAGATGTGCAGCCCCTCCCCCTTTGAGCCAGCGTCTGTCTAATTGGCTGCCCGTCACAAACTGAAGGTGTGCTTCACCTGTGTGAAGCTAACGGCAGCATGCGAGTGATCACTGAGGCGCCAAAAGGGGCTGAACTAGTGAGGAAGACGAGAGGTCAGAGGTCATGTTACTGAGGCGGGCAGTCAGAGGTCAGTGATGAGGCGAGCTAGCAGTGAAAGTGGAGGAGACTCCTGAACAGCAGCTTCAGTCTAGTTTATAATCACAAACACAGAGGTGTTACCAGGGAGGCTGCTGATTGGACAGTCGTGCCTTGCCTGTTATGTGCTGTTAGATGATAAACAGCTGTTCTTGTGTTTTTCTCAGTGAGGCCGATTTTACCTGCACCACACCTGTCCTGCAGTCTGGCGTCCTGCAGTGGTGAGTGTGAGGACTGGTCGTCATGGTGACACTTTAAGCTATATAATCTGAAAACTGATTCTTATTTAACCTCATCACACGGTGACGATGATGAGGGAGGACTTTCTCTGTCAGGACTGGAACTACTGCTAAATACACTCGAATGCTCCAGGCTCACCTGCAGTACCTGTGACGTCCACCAGGGGGTCATGGCCCACATTGATTTAGATTACTCAGAGCCTGACGCGACCATATAAGGATATCCCCTCTCTGACATCATGCAGTTCCATGGGTGGTGCAGCCTGACCTTTGACCTCATTATTAGAAACCATGAACAGCGGGACAGAAAAAAGGAGCTGGACATTATTTCATTTTATTGTTCAAAAACAGTGACACACACCTAAAATCACTGACACCAGACTTCATAGAAAAAATTAAAACATGTTTAACAAGAACGTCATCAGCCAATCAGAGGAGGCGCTGCATCGTGACAGAGCAGGGGGAGATGGTCACCTGACAATCCTGCAAGTCTCTGTGAACCAGGTAAGTCTGCCTGTGCACACCTGTCTGTCTCTCTGTGGCAAAGGTAGCCTCAAACCTATCAATCATCTGTGAAGCCCCGCCCCCAGCCTTAGTGAGACCACCAGCCTTCATTCTTCCTCTCCTTTGTGTGGGTTTGGTTGCTGCACTCTGATTGGCTGTTCTAAGACCATGTGACAACTCCTCTGACTCCAGTAGGTATCTGATCGGTGGGCCAACTCTCCTCCTCCGCTGCCGCTGAGGCTCCTCCCCATTCTCGCTCTTACCCTGGG